TGTGCCTCCACTGCTCTGCTGATTTTAGCTTTTCTTAACCTACTAAACTGTTGTCACAGCCTAGCCTCAAATAAGGATTATGTCCTAAATCTATCCCTGGGCTGTCAGTTTGAAATCAGTAAACTGAACGTTCCAGCCTGTTTGCTGAGGCTAGAGGATTGAACTAGTGGCCCAGCCAACATGAAAGTGGGCCTGTGTTAGGGTTATCTTAGATTAGCCCTGCTTTTTCTTCCTCTTCCTCCTCCTCCTCTTCCTCCCCTCCTCCTCCTCCTCCTCCTCCTCCTTCTCCTCTTCTTTGGTGCGTGTGTGGGTTCGTAGCCCTGGCTGTCCTGGAACTTGCTCTGTAGGCCAGGCTAGCCTCAAACTCACTAAGATCCGCCTGCCTTAGTGATGGGGTGAAGATGTATGCCAACACACCCAGTTTAGCCCTGTTTTGATATGGGGGCATAAGTGTGTTTGGATTTGCTGTATATGTCCTAAAGGAAGCAGTAGAATTTGCAGAGTTGAACTCACACATTGAAGTTACTGAGTGACTTACACAAAAGGCCATGACCTGGACTCCCAGCCGTGAGGCCCACGTGGCAGTGCTCAGGCCTGGGGAGCTGAGAACAGCTCATGTCTCATCTGCTTATGTAACCCTGCTTCCCAGCTTTCAGAGCCAAGAAAACACACAAGCCAGCCCAGCAGGGCTGAGAGCCTGTGGAAGCACACTCCATGTGCCACGCAGCAAGGGTGCCTTGGCGCAGCCTGAGGATTATCATGAAGCTCTCCGGCTTTTGCTCCTCTTGTTCCTCTTCCTGTGTCTGTAGGCAGTGGCTCTGAGAACTGGTAGCAGAGGCGCATGTGTATGAATGGTGTCCATCCTTGCCTGCCTGGAGTCTAACTCCTTGGATTTTCTCATGGAGGTAGAGCTGGGTACGCAGTGGAGGCTCACCCCTACAGTATGGCAGAAGGTCTGCAGCTTCCTGGCTGATGTTAGACCCAAGAAGCCATTCGCCTTTAGGTATGGTGCTGCTGTGTGCTCTTCACTCT